CCACGGATCGGTTCCGGATTGAACCCCACGGTTCTGGATTGGAACCGATCCGGACCGTCTAGAAATAATCTATATTTTTATACTATATACCTTCCCACACCATATAATTTCTTATATGATATAAAAACTAAAGTGTAAACCTAATCCAGCAGCCTCGCCTCACTCATTCACGCCTCTCACTCTCATCTCAGGTCTGTATATCGATGGTGTCTCTCTCTCTTCTCTTTCCCATCTCAGACTGAGTTCTCTATCACACTCTCATCCATCTCAGATCAGATCGGTGTGCTACTGCTCGTCTCTCTCTCTCGGTGAGCTCATCTCTCATCTCTCTCTCTCTCTCTCTCGGATCGGTGACTATTTTTGTTTATTTGTTCCCAGATCATCCATCTCAAATTAGATCGATAGCTATAGCTGTTGTCTTCCTCTTTCGGTGAGCTCCTCTCTCTCTCTCTCTCTCTCTCTAACACTCTGAAATGGGTTCCTAGATCATCCATCGCAGATTAGATCGATTGTTCATGTCATTTACAATGGATTCGGTAAATGTAAGTAGGAGATTTTTTTTTCTGTTTTTATTTTTATTTTTATTTTTATTATGTTTTATGTTTTCATTATGTTTTTATTTTTATTATGTTTTTAGATCGATTGTTTTTTTTCTGTTTGTATTTCTATTTTCTTTTTTTTTTCTTTTCTGATTTCATCTCTGTTTTGTATTTCTATTTTCTGTTGTTTGTAACCATTGATGCACAAATCAGTGTTTATGGAACACTTTAACTGAAAGAGTATTGACAATAGTGACAAAAAGATTCATTGTCTTTCTTTTGTTGTTTCCCTAAATACCTAATCAATAAAATTTCAAACATATGCTGTATACTTGGAGTTTCCTTTTTAATTTCATGCTGCACCTAAATGCTTATTTTTAGGATCTGCTGTTAGTTTTTAGACAATGATAGGCATGATTACATATTTTTCCAGATGTTGCAAGCAGAAAAGCCTCAAATGCCATCTATCCCTAATGCATCTAAAACTGAATACATTTATTGACTATTGAAGATTTATAAAAACTGATGCATCTAAAAACTGAATACATCTATCCATGATTACATATTTTTTCTGTTTGTGTTTAAGGAACTGTGTTATGATTAATGATTCTGTTCTTAGAATGGGGGTAAAAGACCCATTTTGTTTGCTTTGCACCTAAAGAAAGGGACCCATTTTGTGTCCTGAGTGCAAAACTAACATATATTATAATTTTTGTTTATTGGTCTCAACTTAACTTAGTGGTGAAAATTGTGACCTCAACCAGTTCAGTGAATGGTTTCCTAACAAGTATTTTTAGCCATTGGTTTACAAAATTGAAAAGCCTAACAAAAGAAATCCTAATGATCTTTTTTGTCACTATACATAGAATGATAGAAAAAAGCATGATTGTACTTTCAGAAATTGCAAATTTTTTATTTTTATTTTTTTGTAGCCATTTATGGGGCTTAAATGCACATAAAGTATTGATTTATTTATTTCTTTTGTTTGATAGATGTGAAGTACCGGAGACACAAATGATGTAATTGACCTCTCTCAGTCTCAATCTGATAAAGAACATGATCCTCAGCCTGAAACTCCTTCAGGTTCAAAGGTATGCCCCCCTCCTCCTAAGCCAAAAGCTAGACAGTATTCTAAAGTTTGGGAGCATTTTACCAAAATTTTTAAAGAAGGGAGTAAGACTGCTGCATGTGTTAAATGTAACCATTGTAAAGCTTCTTATGCTTGGATTAGTGCAAATGGAACTAGCACTTTGAGAAAACATATTGCAAATTGTCCTAAGTCCCCTCAGAATAAGGAAAATAAAAAGCAAAAGACTTTGGCATTTCAATCTGTAACCGAAGGTGAAAAAACTCTTGGAGTTTGGAAATTTGATCAACAAGCATGTAGGGATTCACTTGTTAAAATGGTAATCACTGATGAGTTGACATTTAGGTTTGTAGAGCGTGAAGGATTCCGTCAATTTTGTAGTGTGATGCAACCTAATTTTAAAAAGTTTTCACGCTTTACAGTAGCAAGGGATATTGTGGATTTATATTGTAGTGAGAAGAAAAAATTAAAAAATTGGTTGAAGAATGCAAACTATAGACTTTGTCTCACTACAGATTCATGGACATCTCTACAAAATGTTTCATACATGTGCCTAACAGCCCACTTTATTGATAAAGAGTGGAATTTGCAAAAAAGAATTCTCAACTTTAGTGTGATTTCTAGTCACAAAGGGGAGGCAATTGATAAGGCAGTGGAATCATGTTTAGTTGATTGGGGTATAGAGAAGATTAGTACAATCACTGTGGATAATGCAAGTACAAATGATGTAGCTATTGCATATGTGAAAAGGAAGTTTTCAAAAAATAGTGACTCTTTGATTTTAAGGGGTGAGTACTTGCATATGAGGTGTTGTGCCCATATAATTAATTTAATTGTCAAGGATGGGTTAAGTGAAATAAAGGATTCATTAACTCGAATTCGTGATGCGGTGAAGTATGTAAGGAGTTCTCCACAACAAGAGCAATTTTTCAGGACATGTGCTGAAGCAGAGAGGGTAACATGTAAAAGCTTGTTGTGTCTAGATGTTCAAACTAGGTGGAACTCCACATATCTAATGCTAGATGTTGCAACAAAGTTTCAAAAAGTATTTGAGAGATTAGAGGATGAGGACCCACATTTCAAACTAGAACTTAATCATGGACCTCCTACCTCTCAAGATTGGGAAGATGCTCATGTTTTTACACAATTTTTGCAAAAGTTTTATGATGCAACTGTTCGCTTGTCTGGTTCTTTGTATGTCACTTCCAACTTGTACTTCACTGAAGTTTGTGGTATAGAAAGTGCCTTAACTGAATGGGCAAAGAGTTTAGATCCTTCTTTGAAAGCCATGGCAATAAAAATGAAGACTAAATTTGACAAGTATTGGGGAAAAATTGAAAAAATAAATATGATGTTATTGATTGCTGTTGTGTTAGATCCTCGTTATAAGTTGAAGTATGTGAGGTTTTGTTATTTTGAAGTTTATCAACCTACCATGGTGAGTGAGCTCACTCAAAAAGTAAGAGAGACTTTGAATAACATTTTTAATGAGTATAAACAGTTTGAAACAGTTGCTTCATCTTCCAATGAAATGGTTCATGAGGTAGACATTGTTGATCAAGTAAACATTGGTGCAAGTGAGCACCAAGTGTCTCTTATGACAAAATTTCAAAAGCTTTTGGAGGAAGAAGAAGGTGATGGAGGAAAGTTAGAAGTAGATAGGTATTTGGAAGAATCTTGTGAAAAGGAAGTTGTAAACTTTGACATCTTAAGTTGGTGGAAGACAAATTCTTCAAGATATAAAATTCTTTCTCAAGTTGCTAGGGATATTTTGGCCATTCCTGTCTCTACTGTTGATTCTGAGTCTACTTTCAGCACCGGAGGTCGTATCCTTGACCAATTTCGTAGTTCTCTTACTCCAAAACTTGTTGAAAGTTTAATTTGTACACAAGATTGGTTGCGTGCTTTGCCATTGCCACTACAGATGGAAGAAAACTTTGCAGATTTGGAGGATATAGAAAGAGGTAATATAATTCTAATATTCAATTAATCATTTAAATTTCATTCATGTAATGTGTTATTTTTTACTTTAAACTGAAATTATTTTTTTGCAGCTCTAACCAATGTTAACATAGCTGCTGGAAAGTGATTTGGTCTGCTGAAAATCACCTATTACAGCTGCTGTTGTGCTGCTGCTGCCACTGCGCTGTTGTGGTGCTTTTGTTTGTCATCCTTAAGCTGTGCTGCTTTCAACATGCCTTTGTTTGTTTATATGTTTTTGTCTAAAACTACTTTATATTTGTTTGCTTAGAATTTGTGGAAAAGGGAAATGTAATGTCTACTAGTATTGAATTTGGTTGTTGTTGATGTGTGTTTGCTTGGAATGGATGATGTTTGCTTAGAATGGAGGATGTTTGCTCCAGTTTATAATGGAATGGATGTTGTTTACTTGGAATGGATATTGTTTTTACTTGTATTGTTTACAGGTTTACAGGAATGGAGTTGCTATTGGAATGGAAATGCTAGTGGAATGGATGTTTACTTATATAATATTGTTTACAGTTTTTCAAATAGGATGTTTACGTATATAATATTGTTTACAGGTTTATCACTCAGATTATATTGTTTACAGGTTTATCACTCAAATGAAAATATAATGTCTATATTTTTTTGGTTATTTAATTATTTAAATCCGTGGTCCTAAACCGATCCAATCCGTGTTTCAACGGATTGGTTCGGATTAGTTTCACAATGTAAATGGATTGGATTGGTTTTAATTTTTCAGGAACCGTAGATAACGGATTGGTCCTGGTTTTTTCCCAATCCGAACCAATCCGGTCCATGCTCACCCCTAGTGACAAGTGGTATCAGAGCACGAGTTGCTATCTCACACACGGATCCATTGAGCTTCAGGATGTCTAGAAAGATCTAGGCATCATGTAGTAAAGGAAGATTGATAGCAACGTTAAACGTTTTTTTTGCTAACACTAATGATGATGATCAATGTCTATTGTAGTCTTTTATGTATGTTGTAATTGATTGTTTTGTAGACTATTGTGAGAACAAGGACCGAAGACTAGGAAGATGCTACCTCAGCACGGTTGGACAGGATGGAAAGAATGATTATGGAGATAGCGGAAACTCTACGACAACAACAACAGCAACAACAGCCACAGCCGCCACCACCACCAGAACCCTCACCTGTAGTGCAAGATATTCACGCTGAAGACCGTACTATTACACTTACAAAGGAGTTTAAAAAGATGAAACCACCTTCGTTTAAAGGATGAATTGAACCAATGAAGGCTGAGGCATGGGTGTTAGGGATAGAAAAATTGTTTGAAGTTTTCTCTTGTACTGAAGTTCAAAAGGTGCAACTTGCTGCTTTCACTCTTGAAGATGAAGCACAGAGGTAGTGGATGCTTACAAGAACAATGCATCAGGGGTTGACATGGGACAGGTTCTTGGTGTTGTTTTATGATAAATATTTTCCCCAGAGTATGCGAGACAAGAAGGTGACTGAATTTGAAACACTGAGACAAGGAAACAAAACTGTTGCCGAATATGAAGCTCAATTCACAGAACTAGCCCAGTTTGCACCTCACATGGTAAATACAGAATATAAGAAGGCACAGAAATTCGAAGGAGGATTGCGGGGTACTATTCTGGACCGAGTTAATGTGTTGAAGTTGCCTACCTACGTTGATGTGTTAGAAAGGGCTGTTATAGCAGAAGGAAATATTGCTGCTCAGACTCGGATTTTTGAATGGAAAGGAAAGAGGCAGAACAACCAATGGTTCAAGGGGTCAACTACTCCACCAAACAAGAAGCAAAATTCAGGGACCTACAGCACCACTACTTATCCTCAAAATTCAGCTCCTGTGTGTCCAGAATGTGGATGGAGGCATCGTGGGAATTGTCACCGATTGTCTGGAGCATGCTTTCGATGTGGCAAAATGGGTCATTTGATTAAAGACTATCCGCAAAAGAATCAACAAATTGGTAATAAGGCCGCCACAAGCTCAACAGGGTCTACACCGGCTCCTAATGCCAAGTCAGCTGCTAAACCTGCTGACAATAAGGACACTACGAGGCAAGGCAGGGTATTTGCGTTGGTTCCGGGAGATGTACAAAATGCAACAACAGTGGTGTCAGGTACATTTACGGTTCATGGTCATTCTGCTTACGTCTTATTTGATTCTGGCTCTACCTGTTCCTTTGTGTCAAAATTATTTGCGGAAAAATTAGATAAACCTGAAGAAGAATTAACTTATGTGTTGTGTGTATCTTCACCTATGGGAAATTCCATGATCTGTACTTCTGTCTATTCTGCTTGTGAACTTCTCATTGGGGATATCCGTGTATATGCTAATCTATTACCACTTGACATGACTTCTTTTGACATTATTCTGGAAATGGATTGGTTGGGTGAATATAGTGCCACTATAGACTGTTTGACAAAGCAAATCAAATTTCACCCTCCGGGGCAATCATAATCTACTTTTCAAGGATAGGGAGTAACTTCTCCACCGTATGTGATTTCTGCAGCAAGGGCTTGTAAATTAATTCAGAAAGGGTGTCAGGGGTACTTATGTAGTGTTTTGGAAGGGCCAATAATGAATGAGAATACTGATGAGATCCCAGTTATCTGTGAATTTTCTGACGTCTTTCCGGAAGAATTGCCAGGAGAATTAGTGGATTGTGAAATCGAGTTCACGATTGAGGTGTTACCGGGAATCCAACCCATTTCTAAAGCCCCGTATCGAATGACACTAGCTGAAATGAGGGAATTGAAGACTCAGTTGCAAGACCTACTGGATAAGGGTTTTATCCGCCCGAGTGTTTCTCCGTGGGGTGCACCAGTCCTGTTTGTGAAAAAGAAAGACGGAACACTCCGATTATGTATAGACTACCGGGAGCTTAATAAAGTAACAATCTAGAATAAGTACCCATTACTGCGGATCGATGATTTATTTGATCAATTACAAGGGGCGCAGGTTTTGTCCAAGATTGATTTACAGTCCGGATACCACCAATTGAAAGTTAAAGCTGATGATGTTGAGAAGACAGCTTTCTGAACCCGATACGGTCATTATGAATTTCTAGTTATGCCCTTTGGAGTTACTAACACACCAGCAGCATTTATGGATCTGATGAACCGTGTCTTCAAACCTTATCTAGATGAGTTTGTAGTGGTCTTTATTGACGATATCCTCATTTACTCAGAGAATGCAGAAGCTCACGAGAATCATCTTCGTTTAATTCTTCAAACCCTCCGAGAAAAGAAGTTGTACGCAAAGCTAAAGAAGTGTGAATTCTAGCTACGTGAAGTGGCCTTTCTGGGACATGATATAACTAAGGAAGGAGTCTCTGTTGATCCAAACAAGATTGAGGCGATTGTGAACTGGCCGACTCCGACTAATGTGACTGAAATGCGTAGTTTTATGGGGTTAGCCGGATATTATAGGAGATTTGTTCAGGATTTTTCCAAGATTGTTGTACCACTTACACAGTTGACTAAAAAGGGAGTTGCATTTGAATGGTCGGAACCGCGGGAATCTGCTTTCCAAGAATTAAAAATGAAGTTGACTACAGCTCCGGTCCTTGCCTTAACGTTTGGTACTGAGGGATTTGTGATTTACAGTGATGCATCACATAAAGGACTTGGTTGTGTGCTTATGCAAAGTGGAAGAGTCATCGCTTATGCTTCTCGCCAGCTTAAACCCCATTAGAAGAGTTACCCCACGCATGATCTTGAGCTAGCCGCAGTAGTTTTTGCTTTAATGATTTGGCGACATTATCTGTATGGGACTACTTGCGACATTTATACCAACCATAAAAGTCTCAAATACCTTTTTACCCAAAAAGAGTTGAATATGCACCTGCGACGGTGGTGGGAACTTATTAAGAATTATGATTTACAGATCCACTATCATCTTGGTAAAGCCAACACGGTGGCAGACGCACTTAGTCGGAAAAATGTGGAAAATTTGGCAAGTCTACTGACAGAGAAAAAGGAGTTGATAAGTGAGCTGAATAAGATGGGGGTCGACTTGGTGATACATGGTCAAGAAGCAACAGTGCAACAATGATGGCCCAACCGACATTACTTGCGGAGATTAAATTACGCCAAATGGAGCATGGAGCTCTAAAGAAGATATGTGATGAAATGGAGACAAAATCGAAACTGGGGTTCACTTTGACAGATTTTGTGCTTAAATTTCAAAACCGAGTATGTGTTCCTAATGTGTTAGAACTTAAACGGAAATTGATGGAAGAAGCACATGCCTCAAGAGTTACAATGCATCCAGGAAGTACCAAAATGTACCGGGATTTGAAACAAAATTTTTGGTGGCCAAGTATGAAAAAAGAAATCGCGGAGTTTGTCTCTAAGTGTTTGCAATGTCAGCAAGTAAAAGCAGAGCATCAGAAACCAGCAGGATTATTACAACCCCTTCCAATCCCGGAATGGAAATGGGAACATCTGATCATGGATTTTGTTGTAGGCTTACCACAGACACCTCGAGGGATGAATTCTATATGGGTCATTGTCCACCGATTGACAAAGTCCGCCCACTTCCTGCCTGTGAAGACTCGGTATAATGCAGATAAACTTGCTGTGATCTATGTGAATGAAATTATAAGGCTTCACGGTGTTCCGGTCTCAATTGTGTCAGACAGAGATCCAAAATTTGTTTCAAGGTTCTGGCAAAGTCTATAGGATGCAATGGGTACAGAATTAAAGTTTAGCACAGCTTTCCACCCTCAAACAGATGGACAATCCGAGAGGACGATTCAGATGCTAGAAGATATGCTTCGAATGTGTTTTCTGGATTTTCAAGAAAGTTGGGAAACTCATCTGCCGTTGGTTGAGTTTGCGTATAATAATAGTTACCATTCGAGTATCGAAATGGCACCCTATGAAGCTTTGTATGGAAGACCGTGTCGTTCTCCCGTGTGTTGGGCTGAGGTTGGAGATAGGCCATTGTTAGGGCCAGAGATTTGTCCAGTTGACAACTGAAAAGGTTAGAATTATTCGAGAAAGATTAAAAACTGCCCAAAGTAGACAGAAGAGTTATGTAGATAACCGGCGAAGGAATTTGGAGTTTGACGTGGACAATCATGTTTTTGTGAAAGTTACCCCAATGAAAGGACATCCAAGATTCGGAAAAAGGGGTAAACTGACACCCTGATATGTTGGTCCCTTCTAGATCTTAGAAAAAGTGGGTTCAGTAGCCTACCGAGTTGCCCTTCCGCCACATATGAGTCAGATTCATAACGTGTTCCATGTTTCTATGCTTCAAGGATACCTTCTAGATCTGTCACATGTTATTGATTATCACCAAATTATGTTGACCGATAAGTTAACATACGAGGAAAAACCAATTCGAATTCTGGACCGTCAAGTGAAATAGTTACGGAACCAAGAAATTCCAATGGTAAAAGTGGAATGGCAAGAGCATTACGGAACCGAAGCAACTTGGAAAAAGGAAGATGAAATGCAACACCAATATCCGCATCTATTTCCGCCCTAAGGTAAAACAAGTTCAGAGGACCAAACTTATTTAAGGGGGGGAGAGTGTAATAACCCGACCCTCGTACATGATTCTGGTATCTTTTCAGCCCTCTATTATGTGCTTTTGAATGCTTATTGTGAAACTCTATGTGAAATTACGTTGAATTAAGTGAAACATGGAAATATGAGTTCCTATCTGTTGAATAAGGAAATTATCTGTTGCACTTAAACTGTTTGAATCAGAAATTGGAAGCCTTAACGGCTTAATTATCCGAAATTGGTTATATATCTGTGATCAGCATATTTTTTAAGTAATATTAAGCATGTTTACGGAATTTCAATTTCGGAATGATTAAACGATTGAATTTTGTCCTATATGCTCTTATATATGAATATGTCAATTTAAGGCCTCTTAAGCTTGATCAAAAACTAGAAATATCTCTTGGGAGAGAAAATAAAGAGTGTGGAGAAGAAGAATTGGGGGAGAAGAAATTCAACAAGAAGCTTGTCAAAATTGAGGAGAGTTGTGGGATTTAATTCAAGGTAAGTTCAATTCAACCTAATCAACCTTCACTTGGACTTAAGAAAGGGTTATTCTTGTTTTAACAACTTAGGGTTTGTAGTTGAGGTTTATGTTTATGATTTATGTTTGATTCAAAAGGGTTCTCATCAATTGGTTGCTTTGACACCTAATTTAGGTGTTGTATGAAATTTATACTTGAATCTTTGGTTTCATGCCAACCCCATGACATTATGCTTTATGAACATGAGGAATTTGAATCCAAGGATGAAATTTGGAAAGGTTGTGATTTGATTAAGCTTCTAAGCATGTTTATCTTGTGATACTCAAGTTGTAATTCATGTATTGGTGATGTTGGATTAAGGTATTGCATTAGTTTAATCTTGGTTTGCATAAAAAATGAATTGGTATTGCTTAAATTTGTGTTGAAGTCGAGCTGCCCAAAACAGGGGTCACCACCGCACGTGCGGAGGCCATGGCCGTACGTGTGGCCAAGAGGGGAAAAATGGAAAATGCATACTATTTTTGGCTGCTCGAGCGGTGGAGGGGGACCGCACGTGCGGTACATGTCCGCACGAGCAGAGGTTATGGCTGCACGTGCGGCCCAGGTCAGAAATTCTGTTCGCTCGGTTTTACGTGCTTAACCCTCAGCTCTTTTCAGAATTTGTGTTTGATACCTGTTTATGATTGTACATGCAATTGAAATGTAATAATGTAAGAAATGGTTTAAAAGAAGAAAGAAACTAATATGGGTTATCTATGTGTGTAGGACACACCACCGGAGGAACCACCGCTCCGTAACAACACTGTGAGTAATAGTACACGGAATGTACATTTATTTACCGTTAATATCTGTTATGACCATTCTGTTTTCTGGTAGACACGACATTAACATATGTATTGATCAAAACATGGTGACAATGTAAGGTTGACTGCAGTTCTGTATATTTCTGAGCCGAAAGGTTGTTCAGTCCATTTATGGGCCGAAAGGCTGTTCTGTACATTTCTGGGCTGAAAGGTTGTTCAGTATACTTTTGGGCCGAATGGCTGTTCTGTATTTCTGGGCCAGTAGGCCGTTCTGTTATAACTATAATACTAAGCCCAAGGTCGTTTTGAAAGTAAAACAATATCAAACTCACTATTTGGATTTCATTTTTGTGAATGCACTGTTATGCATTGTGGTTAAAGTTGGTTATTAAACTGCTTAAGTGCTATTATTCACTGAGCTTGTCTCACTCTGTAATTTTGTCTGATTCTATAGGTAATCAACTTGGAGGTCAGTCCCAGCATCGTTATCATCTATCTTTTGTCAACCTAAGGACAACCAGGCACTTGGAGAAGCCCTTTGCATGCTAGTGCAATTTTGCTAGACTTTGTCATTTTGTACTAATGTTTTATGGGCTGAAGTAGATTTGTATCTAATGTTTGTTATATGCCCAACCTCTGGGCTAGACTTGTAA